TCGCGATGGAGGGAGGGAGGGAGCGATGGAGGGAGGGAGGGAGCGATGGAGGGAGAGAGAGGGAGAGAAAGAAATAAAGAAAGAAAGGGGGCAGGGGGAGAGAGGGGGGGTGTAGGAGGAGTGTGACGGGAGAGAAATAGTCTGTACGAGGTGGCTGACGCACGCCGCGCACCTTTGTGGTTATACTGTACTGCATGCACGGGTGCAGGCGGGTTTGCCTGTGCTCGCTCGCTGCAACGGTTGCTAATGGCTCCGTAAGGCACCCTGAACAAGTGTGATTATAGACAAGCTCGACAGCGCCCGTGCACTATCGTAGTTATACTGTTCCGCATGCACGCCTGCGGGCGGGTTGCCTACTCGTACGGGGCCGTAAGGAGCCGTGGGCAGCGTGGATAGGCAAACCTGCCCGCACCCGTGCATGCGGTACAGTGTACCTACGAAAGTGCGCGGCGTGAATCAGGCACCTGGTACAGTAGCCTATGATTGTAGAAGTGCGCGGGGTTAACCAGCCACCGGGTATGTGTGTTATCGCTTCCGAGCGCGCTTGTGAGCTCTGTGCTCATGTGTTGCTGTTTCACACATGACTCGTATGTTCGTCTCGCCTTGTGTGTTTCAAGACAGCGCTTGATCCACGCACTTGCTCGTGTGTTACTTCTTTACACATGACTGTGGATGTTATTCACACGGCCATCTGTGTGTGTGTGTGTGTGTGTGTGTGTGTGTGTGTGTGTGTGTGTGTGTGTGTGTGTGTGTGTGCAGTTCAACACATCCGTGACTTTGTGTAACTCGTGCGGCCTCTCCCATTTAAGTTGTTGAAGAATTGTGTATTGCTGGTGTGCCCGCGCCCGCGTGCTACCTCATATTGTGTTACTTGTTCACACACTTGACGTTGCGTGTTGCTCGAGCGGCCTCTGTCATGTGTGGCAACACGCTCGTAGGTAGGTGATATTTTGGCACGCATGTCACACACTTCTATAAGTAGAGTACCACCGCGACCCTGACATCCTCAGCCATTTTTAACTGAAAAAGCAAATGTGCGGCCCACTTGGGCAAAGGGCAATGTACCTCACCGTTCACCGTTCACCACACCGAGCGTCACAAGAGCTCCCTCGCCCCACGAGTATTTTTCTCACGTACAAAGTGTTGTTTTTTTTCTAGCGGGGAACCCGTCGTACATGACAGACTCTCCCCGGACAGAGGCCTGGAGGATCTCCGGCACGGACCCAGATGGGACACACTCACCCTGAAGCGTCCTATGGTTCTCTGGTGTACTGCATTGTGCCACATTTTCCGACAACAAATCGCGAGTGCGACGTTGTGTGCGTGTGTTGTACTCTCGGTACATTGCGCGAGTGCGTCACGCGGCGATATCGCACTATAGTGCATCGGGTACAGTGGTCGCAAGGAGCGCCTTGCAGCTAGGCAACCGCCCTCACCGGGCAGGTTTGGTTGCCTATCGGCTGCTCTGAAGGGGCTGTGCGTGCGAGCCTCACACCCGCCGTCCGTCCACCTCACCGTCACCAACAAGTGCTTCCCGTTGACTGTCTACTGTTGCTAACTTTTCCTTGTACTCTTTTGTTGCATGTCCCTGTGGTGATGCTGTGGAGGGGGGCGGGGGCGTGTGCACTCTCCCCGCTTCGCTTGCACCGCTTTCCGTGATTCACTTGACCAGCAGAATCTGCTCGCCCCTAGGATCACTGCACCGAAGCTGAAGTGCCTCTGCACCTCCCACGCTTGTTTTGCAATAAAAAAGTAGTTTACAGCCTTGTACAAAATACTACTGCTTTGCCTTTTCTTATGACCCTTGATCCTTAGTCCTGAACTGCCTATGCAAAGCAATGATGTTATCCCGCAGCTACACCGAAAGTTGTCAGAGAAGAGTGACCGCCAACCGACCGATGAACCTGAAGCGCTGCGCAGGTAAGTCAAGCCTGTGAGCGCATTCCGAGGAGAAGAACAATAGGGGGGGGGGATCAATACAGTTCATGATTGCTTGTGATAAGTCAGAACCACACACAAACCAAGGGTACGGATTTTATGCCCGGCGCCCTTGGTGCAAAAATAAGTGTCGTTATAACCCCGTATAGAACGGTGAGCAAAACAGAAACAAGGCGAGTTATCGTCCGCGGGCCTATCACGAGGCGACCGATTTACCATGCCCGATTTGGAAGTTAGAGCTGTGGTGGAACAGGGGGCGTCGTAAGGATTGCCAACGGGACTTTCCTGGACTCCGAGGGCTGATCTGCCCCTGAGGATACAGGTAAAGCACGGCAAGAGTCTGCGCATCAGACTCGCAGTGACGTGTGTGTGTGTGTGTGTGTACAGTGCGAGCGAGGGGTAGGCCGACCCGCATGGCATGGCCGCTCGTCGGGATGGCCTACCCGCGCCAAAGCGGATCCAGAAATTAGGGGGGGGGGAAGCGAAGGCGGCTTCGCATCGCTTCAATTCGGGGTGGTACCGTCTCATCCACTTTCAAAGCGTTTATTCTCGACAGCCTGGTTTGGATGCAAGCGAGGTCAGTGTGTGAGAGAGAAAACCCGACCCGGTAGCCAACACATTCGCAAGGCCTTAATGAGGTAAGCTGAAGTGGTAAGCTGAACAGGTAATCAGAGCGAATGGAGATCTGCGCTCGCACGGAGAGCTCGCCCTTCTGCACGTGGGTGCAGGTGGTGAAAGGAAATTAATTACATGTTCACTGCTATTTTCGGTGTATCATGACTGGTCGCGCCTGCGTCCACTGGTCCCGGTGGTGCGACGCGGCGGTGGGGCACCAGCTCCGCGACCAGGAGAAGCAGCGGCACTGGCGCCGCGCACAGCGCCGCCGGCACCTCCCGCTGCACGCAGCAGGGCGACGCGCGGAACACGCACGGTGGACGCAGAGGCTCTGGTTACCGGTGCATGGGAGGGTCCGGGTCCGAAGGCACCAGAGGCACCACTGCTAGCTGCAGTGCGCCCAGGCGGTGGCTTCAAGGGGTCCTCGGGGTGGGTAGGCGGCTCTGTAAATCGCACAGGGAGACGGTCAAGGCCATATATGCCCGCACTTCCAGTTCGTCCATGGCAATGCATAGCGCGGGGAAAATCAGGAATAAGAGGGCGGGCAAGGTCAGGTGACCTTACAGTCCCCCCCCCCTTCCTGTCGCGCCAATCATCTGTGATTAGCGAGCGAAGCAGTGCATGCATGGTGCGAGGAAGCGGTGGTGCAGCAAGAGAGAGGAAATGGGTGACACGTAAGAAGACAACCAGCCTCAAAACAGACCCCACACCACCCGAGGGTGCAGCAAGGCATATGAGTCAACAAGACGGGAAAGCAAAAGAAGTGTAACTAGAAAGCGTGTTTGTGGTGTTACCTACTGTCGGTTCCCTGCATGTAATGGACTATACAGTCAAGGAGCACCAGGCGCTGCACTATACTCCTCTTCTCCATTTGCAGCTGACCGCGCCATTCCTTCGAAAGAGGGGTCCGAAGGTAGGGGGCCAGGAGCCAAATGGTAGAGACAAGCCACCAACAACGTAGATGGCATAGGGTTTACCTCAATGCGCTTCAAGCACTGCTCGGGCGTGTAGTATGGCTCCCACTGCATTGTGTGCGTGTGCAGGCAGCTCTGGAAGGATACGGCCCCGCGGCTGCTGCAACCATCGCAACCGCCAACAAAGGAACCGCCGATAGCTGAGGAGCCCAACGAGGCGCCATCCCCACTCGAAAGACACGACCAGAACCGGCGTGCACACTGATGTATGAGATGGCTGACTCACGCGGCGCACTCTCGTAGTTATACTGTACCGCATGCACGCGTGCGGGCGGGTTGCCTACTCACACGGAGCCACAAGTAGCTGTGCGTGTGTGCGAGAGAGAGATAAAGAGAGAGAGAGAGAGTTAGAGAGAGAGAGAGAGAGAGAGAGAGAGAGAGAGAGAGAGAGGGGGG